ATAGCTTTTATATTTGTGCTTATTACTTAGATTAATCTATTTAGTCTTTACTTAATTGAATTTAGATTAATTCTTTGAAAAAGTTTTAAATAACCAATTCACCCCCCTCTTGGTTAGCCTATCTTGGGTTTACAATATTATGACCGCAATAATTAGTATATGCATCTCTGCAACGATACTAATTTATCGGATTACTATATGGTCTAAACCTCAAACTCACCTCTCGATTCGTAAGAGACTCACATAATCATCAGATTATTGATAAAGTAATTTAATGCATTAAACTCATAATAAAAATCGACACATATAAAAATAAATCACATAAATCTTAAGTAGAAAAATAAATGATCACAAGTGGACTACATTGTTTTTCCTAAGATAAAAATTAGTTATTCATACTGTAAAATAAAAACACGTAAAAATGGAATGATATCACAAAAAATTGATGAAACGTGAAATTTCTAGCGTCCGCCTTATCTTATCTTATCTTTTTCTCTTTTCTTTCTTTATTTCTTTCTCTTTCTTCTTCTCTATGCGTCTTTTTTCTCTCTTTTTCCTTTCTACTGCATGCAGGTCTTTTTCTTTCTTTCATATTTCTTCTTCTTTTCTTTTTCTCATCTTTTTTCTTTTTTTTTTGTTATATATATATATATATATACACAAGATTTCATCTTTGAATTTTGTCAATTTTTTTGCCACTTTTACATTCTTTTCTTCAATTCTTAATCAAACATAAATTTTTATCTACAAAAAATAATATGACATAAATTAGGTAAAATTTTATCTAAAAAATAATAATAAAATATCATGATTTAAGGTCTCGAATAAATGTAGAAACTACACTTCTCAATGGTTCATATACTACTTCCCAAAAAGTGGTCTTTTATAGTGAACTGTTGGGAAAAGACAACTTAATGAAGCCTATTGATGATGATTTTTTGGGTCTTAGGAGAATGCTAAGCTACTTGATTGGGATGTTTCAAGGCAAGAAATCAAAGATGCTTTATTTAATATTGATGATGACAAGTCGCCGGGGCCACACGGATACACCTCTTGTTTCTTCAAGAATTAATGGGATATTGTTGGTGATGAGTTCATGAGGGAAATTGAAGAATTTTTTGCATCTAGTTCTCTTCTCAAGCAAACGAATCGTACAATCATTGTTTTGGTTCCCAGGGCAAATCATTCTACATCCATGGGAGACAATCGATCAATCGTATGTTGTAATGTGTTTAATAAAGTA